CACACACACACACACACAGACAGACAGACACAGACAGACACAGACAGACACACACAGACACACACAGACAGACAGACAGACAGACACAGACAGACACAGACAGACACAGACAGACAGACAGACAGACACAGACAGACACAGACAGACACAGACAGACACAGACAGACACAGACAGACAGACAGACAGGCAGACAGACAGACAGGCAGACAGACAGACAGACAGACAGTCAGACATTTTCTTATTCCTCCTCCACCACCACTACTCTTAAATACCTTTCTATGCTATGGTCATAGACTTGTAGAATATTGTAATATCCAAGCTGCACTCAAACACAATTCTGGTTCACAATGGAGCGTATCATTCTCACTCGTGTTTGGAACCAAATGAAGGGCATGTGCAGGAAAGGTTGCGCGCACACTTAAACTTAAACTATAGTGCGGTCAAAAATGTATGGTGCAACCTACCTTTAAATCATATCTCTTTAACGGGGTAATCAAAGTCTTCCATACTTTGCTCAGCAGTTTGGATCAATTTTAGGTTAGATCTCAAAGGTATTCTTCATAGATTTATAGATAAGTACTATAAATCTCCGTGGATTGTTCAGAGCACTTCCCGCTTCTCACACGTATTTTAATTAAATACGTAGGCCTATACCTTTTAAAATTTGTAGAAACCGCCCATGGGAATTTTTAATTGGAATTTTCTTGAATACAGCTGACAGGTGTTTACAAAAATATTCAACTGTTAAGACAAACTAATAAAAGTCATTGCGCAAAAGCTGGAGACTTTATGTTCGAACGGTGAGGAAATAAAACAGTTGCTCCTTAAGTTGTTGACAGTACTTAATTTGGCGAGAGTCTATACTAAGCTTATAGATCTAGTGAGACTGGTGTTTTTCACCTATTTCAGCTACTCATGCTGCGCTAGTCGATACGTTTTTATAAAGAGCAAAGTAGAGCGGCGGCAATGGCAGTGCGTTGTCTAAGGTAGATCTATTATAATTCAAGTGTATTGGTATGGTATGTTAAGGATTAAACACCTTGTTTTCTCTTTTAACGCTGTAAGATTAGTTAAGAGGTAGGACCTCTTACCAAATGTCCATTTCCGAATAGCGTTGATCCTCGTAACTTCTTCTACTGCAACTACAAATTGATGGCTAGTGGGTGGTTGGCGGGTGCTCTGGTGTGGTTTGCTTCTTCTTTCCTATCAAACATATATCGTCCTTATCTCCCCTCCTTCTTTTTTATGTTTTTTACTCTCTTGTAACACCTCAAATCTTCTGGCACTCATATGACCTTATGGGGTTGCGAGCGCCGTAAAACCTCTACTAAAACAAAACTGATGGTTAGTGGGCGCTTGAGTGTGGTTCGCTCCCTTTTTCCTATATAGAACATCTATTGTCATTATATATCTCCTTTTTTTTTTCTTTGTAGACTTAAGTTACTTCTAATGTCTCAAATCTTTGGCACTTATATGACCTATTTTGTTTTGCAAGCGTCGTAACACTCTCACTAAAACGAAAACTTTCCCAACAACAAAAACAACAATAAATACATGTACGACATTAACAACAACAACAACAACAAACAGCAATCACCATTGGCTTATAATAATCACTTCATGTAGATCTAGGCCTATACGTATAAAAATAAGAAAGAGTGAAAAGCCTCTTCATTGGGGACTTTTTTTCTTGTTCCACAGTTTAACGAGGGTCCCGTTGCTCGAGAAAAGAGGTCGGAGGTAAGGCTGCATAATAAAAATAAAACTATGGAGAATATTTTGCGTCATTTTCAACACTTTACGTCTATGTAAGAAACGACCTACGTGTTTGGTGTAGACGTTAAGCGCTTCACCGTCGCACGCAGAAGACAGGAGTTTAATTCCCGTGTGGAGAGTACGTTTAAAAAATTTAATCTATATCTAGTATATCTCCGTGTGTCTGTTGAGACGTTGCAACCCTCTGAGTTCGGGTCGGAATTGACCGACAGGGTCGAAGCAGCTCACCTCCTACATGATCCAACTTGTGTCGATGATGGCGTGAAACATCTACAAATTAATATCACGCACAGACAGAAATATGCCACCTTGGTGGTATAATGCTGGACAACAGTACGGAAGACTCTAGCTGAAATCTCTATAGATTTCTTGAAT